CAAGAGAAAATGCCCGTGCCTTGCCCCAGGGCCCACGGGCCAGCTCTCTCAGCGCTCCAGGGCAGCGACTCTAGCTCTAGGGAGATGGGCTGGGGCAGAGCACCAGGCTGACAGGCCTGTGCAGTGAGCCGCGGGCATGTGAAAGCGATGCCCTTGGTACTGCCATGAAATCCTGGGTTAGGCTTGTTGGAAGAGCAGAGAATTGTGTAGCCGCACTGCACAGCACGGTGCAACGGCAGCAGTGTGTCACTGAGGCCAGTGTGCTGTGATTGTGCACGCCCGGCCTGCGTCGCCGCGCTGCACAGCACGGTGCAACGGCAGCAGTGTGTCACTGAGGCCAGTGTGCTGTGATTGTGCACGCCCGGCCTGCGTCGCCGCGCTGCACAGCACGGTGCAACGGCAGCAGTGTGTCACTGAGGCCAGTGTGCTGTGATTGTGCACGCCCGGCCTGCGTCGCCGCGCTGCACAGCACGGTGCAACGGCAGCAGTGTGTCACTGAGGCCAGTGTGCTGTGATTGTGCACGCCCGGCCTGCGTCGCCGCGCTGCACAGCACGGTGCAACGGCAGCAGTGTGTCACTGAGGCCAGTGTGCTGTGATTGTGCACGCCCGGCCTGCGTCGCCGCGCTGCACAGCACGGTGCAACGGCAGCAGTGTGTCACTGAGGCCAGTGTGCTGTGATTGTGCACGCCCGGCCTGCGTCGCCGCGCTGCACAGCACGGTGCAACGGCAGCAGTGTGTCACTGAGGCCAGTGTGCTGTGATTGTGCACGCCCGGCCTGCGTCGCCGCGCTGCACAGCACGGTGCAACGGCAGCAGTGTGTCACTGAGGCCAGTGTGCTGTGATTGTGCACGCCCGGCCTGCGTCGCCGCGCTGCACAGCACGGTGCAACGGCAGCAGTGTGTCACTGAGGCCAGTGTGCTGTGATTGTGCACGCCCGGCCTGCGTCGCCGCGCTGCACAGCACGGTGCAACGGCAGCAGTGTGTCACTGAGGCCAGTGTGCTGTGATTGTGCACGCCCGGCCTGCGTCGCCGCGCTGCACAGCACGGTGCAACGGCAGCAGTGTGTCACTGAGGCCAGTGTGCTGTGATTGTGCACGCCCGGCCTGCGTCGCCGCGCTGCACAGCACGGTGCAACGGCAGCAGTGTGTCACTGAGGCCAGTGTGCTGTGATTGTGCACGCCCGGCCTGCGTCGCCGCGCTGCACAGCACGGTGCAACGGCAGCAGTGTGTCACTGAGGCCAGTGTGCTGTGATTGTGCACGCCCGGCCTGCGTCGCCGCGCTGCACAGCACGGTGCAACGGCAGCAGTGTGTCACTGAGGCCAGTGTGCTGTGATTGTGCACGCCCGGCCTGCGTCGCCGCGCTGCACAGCACGGTGCAACGGCAGCAGTGTGTCACTGAGGCCAGTGTGCTGTGATTGTGCACGCCCGGCCTGCGTCGCCGCGCTGCACAGCACGGTGCAACGGCAGCAGTGTGTCACTGAGGCCAGTGTGCTGTGATTGTGCACGCCCGGCCTGCGTCGCCGCGCTGCACAGCACGGTGCAACGGCAGCAGTGTGTCACTGAGGCCAGTGTGCTGTGATTGTGCACGCCCGGCCTGCGTCGCCGCGCTGCACAGCACGGTGCAACGGCAGCAGTGTGTCACTGAGGCCAGTGTGCTGTGATTGTGCACGCCCGGCCTGCGTCGCCGCGCTGCACAGCACGGTGCAACGGCAGCAGTGTGTCACTGAGGCCAGTGTGCTGTGATTGTGCACGCCCGGCCTGCGTCGCCGCGCTGCACAGCACGGTGCAACGGCAGCAGTGTGTCACTGAGGCCAGTGTGCTGTGATTGTGCACGCCCGGCCTGCGTCGCCGCGCTGCACAGCACGGTGCAACGGCAGCAGTGTGTCACTGAGGCCAGTGTGCTGTGATTGTGCACGCCCGGCCTGCGTCGCCGCGCTGCACAGCACGGTGCAACGGCAGCAGTGTGTCACTGAGGCCAGTGTGCTGTGATTGTGCACGCCCGGCCTGCGTCGCCGCGCTGCACAGCACGGTGCAACGGCAGCAGTGTGTCACTGAGGCCAGTGTGCTGTGATTGTGCACGCCCGGCCTGCGTCGCCGCGCTGCACAGCACGGTGCAACGGCAGCAGTGTGTCACTGAGGCCAGTGTGCTGTGATTGTGCACGCCCGGCCTGCGTCGCCGCGCTGCACAGCACGGTGCAACGGCAGCAGTGTGTCACTGAGGCCAGTGTGCTGTGATTGTGCACGCCCGGCCTGCGTCGCCGCGCTGCACAGCACGGTGCAACGGCAGCAGTGTGTCACTGAGGCCAGTGTGCTGTGATTGTGCACGCCCGGCCTGCGTCGCCGCGCTGCACAGCACGGTGCAACGGCAGCAGTGTGTCACTGAGGCCAGTGTGCTGTGATTGTGCACGCCCGGCCTGCGTCGCCGCGCTGCACAGCACGGTGCAACGGCAGCAGTGTGTCACTGAGGCCAGTGTGCTGTGATTGTGCACGCCCGGCCTGCGTCGCCGCGCTGCACAGCACGGTGCAACGGCAGCAGTGTGTCACTGAGGCCAGTGTGCTGTGATTGTGCACGCCCGGCCTGCGTCGCCGCGCTGCACAGCACGGTGCAACGGCAGCAGTGTGTCACTGAGGCCAGTGTGCTGTGATTGTGCACGCCCGGCCTGCGTCGCCGCGCTGCCTGAGGATGCTTACAGAAGAGCCAGAGCAATGAATGTGGGAGATAGATGCCGACCGGGAAGTTGTCTCACTCTCTGTAGGAGCTCAGTCTCGCTAGGCTGGACGTGGATTTCACCCCGTATGAACTTTGCCTTTTGGATTGACCAGCTTTTCCTGGACTGAGTCTGGACTTTGCTTTTACTGGTCTCTGGTCTCCTTACTAGACTCGCATTCTCAGTCTTGTGGAGATAGACTACTCTGCCTTGCCGCACCATGATCCATTCCCTGCACGTCCCAGCCGCTTGCCCGGCTGGCATGTGCTGTGGCCAGGGGTTTGGAACTTAGCGTTGTAACGCTGGATGCCAGACCCAGTTGGCAGGTTTGAATACAGTCGCCTGATAGACAAGAGTTCTACGGCCCAATTTGCACCCTAATCTGAAACCTCTTGGGCCTGCCTCTTCTGCACTCCCGCAGGGAAGCCTTGAGACACTAGATCGGCGAACCCTTGAGCCACTAGATCGGCTGGCCTCGGCTCCAGCTCCCGATAGCTGCACTAGCCTTGATCAGAACCCTGCACAAATGTTAATGGTCAGACAATCCTTATAGCTCCTAGCGGGCCAGGGTCTCCCTGTCTCGCCCTCAGGCTGCCTGGTGGGGAGAATCAAACCCTCTTTTACTGCAACTTCTGCAGAGACATTGATTCTGTAGGGATGCAAATGCACGTAGAATAATCCGCAGGGACACTCCAAGGCAAGTTGGCTGCCTCACGGCCGGTGTCCCAGCGCAGTAGCTGCTGCGGTGGATCACTCATGAGTTCAGCACACACTTGTGTAATTCAGTCTCTTAGAAATACCCACAGGACATCACCCCTTCTGGGTCTTCAGAGCATCTTCTCCTGGGCGTGGTTCCGCCATCTTGCCCTGCATGTAGGTGGGCCCCAGCCGTCAGCCCTCCCCCATCCCCGAGATCCAGCAGAAATGGCTGGGGTGAGCTCTTGGAGAAAGCTGGGGGGAGGAGCCTGTGGATTCTGGGGACTCCTGGGGCTCCCGGTCGACTTCCAGACGTGCTGCGCCACCAGCGGTTTCCCAGCCTGGTACCTGCTCCGGCGGGTCCCTCCAGCGCAGTGTCCCGCCCGGCGCTTCAGCGGGGTGTTCGAGAAACTGGTTGCAGCAGTTAAGGGACAGCCCACCCCAGGAAAGCGTCCTCCTGCCGTCCGGAGACATGGGCCGAGGGCTGATATTGCCAAGGAGTCAGACCTGAGACGCGAGCCCCCTCGCTCTCGGCGCCCCAGCCAGTGCTGCAGCCCAGGTGACGTGAGGGGCTGGGGCAGTCAGGCACACCTGGGCCCCGGGATCACAGGGAGGGGGAGGCTGCTGAAATCGCACAGCTCAGTGTCACGTCAGCCCAGAAGCCGCAAGCCCTGGCCCGGCAGCACCAGGGAGTGGAATGGCAAACCCAGTCCGACGCGGGAGGGGCTCTGTATGCTCCATGCTTCCTGCAGGTTTGTGCCGCCCCACGGCGCTGAGTTCCTGCCTGGCCAGGCAGCTCTGCACTGGGGTTGCTCTGAGCGCCAGTGTGGGGCAGCAGGGGTCGCAGCCCCATGAGCGGTAGGAGAGGGGAGGGAGGCACTGGAGCGGCACGGGGGCAGGTTCTCACACACATGACCCTCTTTCTGCCCCGGTCGTCTGCAGCAGTGAGCGGGTCCCGGTGACCCTGAACCTGGATGGGATCGTGCAGGTGCTGGACTGCCACCTTCACGACACAGCCACCGGGATGATGACCAGAATCGCAGTCCTGAAATGGCTCTATCACTTGTACATGAAGACGCCACGGAAGGTGAGTTTGACGTGGGATCCAGTGGGGCCATCACCTGCTTCTTCGGCTGAGCTGCTTGGCGCTGCCTGGTCTGTGTAGTGGGCGCGGAGCGTCTGAGCCCCGGGTCTCTGGGAGGAGCGGCATGGGGAGCCCTGGGAGGCAAGAGCAGGAGCTGGGCTAGCTAACGGGTACTGCATTGCTAGGCCTGGGGATGAGCCGGACTGGCAGGGGGGGGTCACTCCACTGCCCGGCGGCGGGGCTTCCTGTGCCCTGGCTGCTTGACGCTCGTCCAGCTGGGCTGAGAGAATGGTCCCTACAAACGTGCGCAAGGCCCCAGCTTCATCCAGACGAGCCCAGCTGACCTGGGGGCCCCCCCGCCGCTCCTGAGAGGAGGGTAAAAACCAAGCTGAGCGTCTGCCCTGTTGGAGCAAACACCAAGCTTCGGGTGGGTTCAGACGTCTCCTGTTCTAGCAGTACCCGTAGGGCTGAATCTAGCGCCCCCTCGCACGGCAGTACATCCCGGACCGCCCTAGGCACAGCTCAGCAGCCCCGCGGCCGTGAGTCTCCTGGGAGTGTCCTTGTTGCCCTTGCCCACGCTTGCGCTCCAGGACGGAGTTCCAAGTCCAGTTGAAACGCCCTGCAAAGCCGGAGCTCCCAGGGGCCGGCGACTCTCTGAGGCCGTGTCTCTGCTTGCAGATGTTCCGGCACACCGACAGCCTTTTTCCCATTTTGCTGCGGACGCTGTCGGATGAGTCAGACGAGGTGAGTGGGGCGCCTCGGCAGCGCTTGCCAGCTGCTCTCCCCTGGGCTGTGGGCTAGGCTAGGACGCACCAGGAAGCCTCTGGCTCTGCAGGGTCATCTAGCCCGGTGGCTCTGCCCTGCAGCCCCCTTCTGACAACATGACTCCCTGGCCCCAGGGGTGGGGGAGCCGGAGCCCGGGTCGCTGGAGCGCTGGCTTCAGCTTTAGCTCCGGGCCCCAGCAAGTCTAATGGCAGCGAGTCCAGCTCCCAGTTTGGTCCCTGCACGGGTCCCAGCGCGAGGCTGTCTCTCTGAGTCCCGACAAGCCCGTCTCTAGCTGCCGTGCCTAGCGCTCTCCCCACCCTGCAAGGAGCTGCCGGGCCTGAAGCCTGGTGGTAAGGCTGGGGCCAGGCTGTCTGCTGCTGGGGACTGGCCCTTGCGGTTGGGACTCGGCGCCACCGCTCCTCCTCCCCTGCGCTGACTGGGGAGGAGCCCAGTCGCCCTGCAAAAGGCCAGCCATGGTGAAGGGGCCTGCAGCTGGTTACTGGCCTGACTGACCCTTTGGCTTCACTGCCCGGCAGCGTTCCCGCAGGAAAACGGGAGCAGTAGCTTTTACCGCAAGGCAGCGGGGCGAGAGAGCCTGCACTCCTGCCGGGGCCGGTCTGGCCTGGCTGCCTTGCGCCAGGGGCTTGCAGCTGGGCGGGGGAGCGTGGTGCCCTGTGACCGATGCCTTCGTGCCAGGGCAGGTGGAGGCTGCACGCAGAGCTGGGCGTGTGGTGGCTTTGATCAGGCTCTCCCTTGTTTGTGCCGAGGGGGCCGGGGGAGCGCGGCGATTGGGCCTGGCTGGTGTTGGGCTGAGACAGGCGCGGGGCAAAGGAGGGCTGTGCCGTGCCGGGGCCACGTGCCTTGACTCGCCTGTTGCTCTTGCTGCCTGAGGCTGTCATCGCTCTGGCCTGTAAGACGGCTTGATTTGCGGTTGGGCAGGAGGACTTGAGTTGCCCCTGGGGGAGCGACGCCCCTCTGACCGCTTCAGTGCAGGGTTTCTTCGGGTCTGCCAGCGGTGCTCTCGAGATGCTGACTCGGCGCCCTGTCGCGGGGTGGGTGAGGGTGGGTCTGGATCTCGCAGTGCCGGCTGGGAAAGGCAGGCTCTGGCCTGTAAGACGGCTTGATTTGCGGTTGGGCAGGAGGACTTGAGTTGCCCCTGGGGGAGCGACGCCCCTCTGACCGCTTCAGTGCAGGGTTTCTTCGGGTCTGCCAGCGGTGCTCTCGAGATGCTGACTCGGCGCCCTGTCGCGGGGTGGGTGAGGGTGGGTCTGGATCTCGCAGTGCCGGCTGGGAAAGGCAGGGTCAGCAGGAGTCACTGCCACGGGCCGAGGAGGGGTGGGCCATATCCTCCAAGGAACCAGTCTTTACTCCCTGCCCTGGGCCCAGCACCCATTCCGGATGCTCCCTCCCGAGAGCCCCTTGGTTGCTCTTGTCTAGCCTCCATTTCCTCTCCTCCTCTTTGTTCTGCATGACTCTTCCCCTCTCCCGGCCCCGGCCGTCACCTCTTCCCTCGCAGCACTCCGGCAGCTCTGGCCGGTACCGTCGCAGGCTGATGGCGTTTCTAACTTCTGAGGCTGTGCTAGAAGCCAGAGGCGCAGCCTAACGCGCAGCCCTGTGCGTGGTCTTTGCTAAACTCCTGGGCAGGACTTTCGGCTTTGGACTCCGTGCCGAGGAAGGCAGAGTTGCCTGGCTAAGGGGATTGGGAAGAGCCAGGGAAATAAGTAATATCAGGGGAATAATTTGTACTTTGCAGTGTTCCATCCCCTGCTGCTTATGGTGCAAGCGGTTCCCAGGCGCGCCATCTGCGCTTGCCCTGCTGAGGGAAGCCAGAATCTTGCAGCTAGACTCTGGCGGGGCAGGAAATGGCCACGAGTCGTGCTCCAGACACACGTCTCCAATGTGTGTAAAAAGAAGCTGGGCAGAAAGGAGGGCAGTGGTGCATTTCCGCCACGTGATGCAACCAGGAACAGCTCAAGTACTTGAAGGTGATTTATTTAATCCAGCCAATATTTTGTACTTAGGAAATCCGTAGGAGAGTCGGTCCATTCAGTATCGTTGGTCAGCTGGCTCCTAACCTGCTTTGCTTCCTGCTGCATCGGGAATGGGAAGGCCCGAAATAGCAGCCTTAGGCGCGGGAGGAGAGGGGCGATGGCCGTGTGGGGAGGACTGAGGTGAGGGACACTGCCCCAGAGGGCGCTGTAGAGGCTTGGGGAAGCGTTTCTGTAGTTCTCGGTCTGAGCTCTGGCGTGTCTGGAGGGTGGAAGAAGCAGGAGCCAGGAGGGGGGGGGGTTCCAAGCAGGCAGTGGTGACAACGTTCACCTCTCCAGAGTGCTCTGAGGCCCTAGGGCCCCGCGCCCTGTGAGGCAGCAGAAAATGCTCCTGTCTCATGCTGGCCAGAAGCTTGAGCATTCACCCCGTTGCTTGGCGCTGCTGTCCTCAGTGCCACGCTGGAGTGGGGGCTCCCTGTCCCCGAATGGGACACAGCCGAGCCGGGGCAGTGTGGTGGTTAGAGGCTGCCATGCTACCGCACCGTGCGGTGAGTTGGAGTGATGGCCTGGAGCTGAAGGGACGTCTGGCTCCAGAGAGCAGTGTGGCCGTGCCAGCGCCTCGATGCAGCCTGCCCGCTCCTGAGAGCAAGGAGTGCTGCGGCAGCGCATCCTCAGCCTCCCCTGTGCTATCCCCAGGAAGGGAACGGGCTTGGTGAGGCAGGAGCTGATCACGCATGGTGTCCACCCCTCACAAGTTTGACTTACCAGCAGGATTTTCCAGACTGTAGTCTGCTGTGAATCCTCTGTCCCCCCCCTCGCACCCAAGCCAGCTCTCAGAACCCAGCTGCACACAGCTCCTGGCTGGCTCGGCTCTGCGCTCGGCTCAGACACAATGCAGCACAGAGCCGCGGCTCCGTAACCCACAGGAACACACAGCTCCAGGCTGGCTCCCCCCCGCCCGCCGGCCC